CTTGATCTCAGCGATGGTGGCATTGGGCTCTACCTGGACAGACATATGCAGACAGTGAGTGGTGAGTGCAGGCCATGTTCCCCCTTACCCCAACCGCTCTCCCCATGCTGCAAGCCTGCTCCCCAGAACTGGGAAAGGGTATACACACACACACACACACACGTACATACACACACCTCTTCCAGCTGGAGACAGCCATATGTCTGCTAGGGGAAGTGCCAGGGTTGCATGCCCACCCTGTGGGGCATGGGGAAAAGAGGCGACACTGGACAGGGGCCAAACACCAAGGCTGGAGAAACCAGATGCCCTCTGCCCACTGCTTCCCAGGGCCCCATCACACAGGCAAATACAAACGCACACACACGCCCAGTAGGTGCTGGTATTAGGTGTCCAACAGCTGCCAGGCAGGCCCCGGCTCCCTAAGCAGGAGGGTCTTTCTCGGCTCCCCACAGCTCTGCAGGGACAGGCATCTTAGGAAGGATTAGCTCCAGTTGCATCGATGCAGCCAGACTCTGGTCTGGCCAGGGGGACACTGGACCCTTCCCCACCCCGCAGGCAGGGGCAGGGGAAACCCCAGGCCCTGGCCAAGCCACAGGAAAGTGCCCCCTGGCAGAGGCTAGAACTGGGGCAGGGGCTGGTGGGGGGTGGAAAGGGGAAGCCCTACCTGGCCCCTACCAGCTCTGAGCCCTGCCATAACACACCCCCACCCCTCCCCAAAAAACAGAATCGGACACAGACCCCTGCCTCTGAATTCACTCTCCCCTCTTTGAGATCAGGGGCTGAAGAAGCAGCAGACTTGGGTGGTGGAATGGCAGGGAGGGTGGGCAGAGGAAGGACCCTGGGTTCTCTCCTCACCCTCAGCACCCATCAGCCATGCAGCCCCCTTTCCCTTGGCTTCATGCCTCAGTTTCCCAAGCACCCAGCTCCAGGGGGACATCCTCACAGAAGGGGGCCTTGTGGGGCTCCTGGTGATGGGCACAGGGCTGATTCTTCCCCAAATCCAGTTGCTAAGGGACCCTGCACTGTGTCCAGACCCCTGAGGGCAAAGCCCTGGCTGGGTGGAGGGGGGTGGTATGGGGCAGGCCTGTCCATCCAGAGAAGAGGGGCCTAAAAGCAGGAGGGCTGGTTTTCAGGAGGGAGCCAGAGGCAGGCAAGGCTGGTGCCTGGACACTAATGCCAGGCCAGGCCAAGGTGCTGGACACTGGGGCACTGATGGAGGTCTCACTTCCCCAGTGCCCAGCAGTCCCTATCTTGGGCCCTGGATCCTGCAGGTGCCATAGCCTGGTCCACACATGACATCAAGGAATGCTGGGAGAACAGATGCCAGGGCTCCAGATGACTGGGCCAGCAGAGAACTTGGATGAACCACCCCGGGCCCTGACTCCGAGGTCCTTCAGAAAGATGCCAGGGATAGAGACCCCTCGCCAGTCCCTGGCACTAGGAGGGCTCCTGAGCTCTGTCAGTGTGAATGTCTCCTGTTGCCCAGCCAGTCCCCGCAACCCCAGGGCAAGAGGCCTAGGCGGGCAGACAGCCACCCTGCCCCCCCATCACCCCAAGTCATTCTTCCAGGTAGGGGGCATCTGGGCCCACACATGCCTATACATACACATATGTGTATGCATGGCCCAGCCCCTTCCCTTGGAGCTCCTGCATGGGGTGGGAGGCTGGGGGGCCTAGCCAGAGCCCTAGTTCTCTCCGGCCCCAGCCTGTTGCAGCTGGTTCAGCTGGGAGGCTGGCACCTCTATGCATCTGGCTCCAGGGCCCAGGCTGCTGCCAGACCCTCCTCAGCAGCCCAGCCTGTGCCCCCGAAGTGACAGCACGATCTGGAGCCCACAGATGGTTACAGCCCAGTGACTGAAGCTGGGGTTGGGGAGGGGCTTAGAAAGGGATGAGACCCCTAGATGTAGCGGAGGTGGGAACAGCAAAGATTCTGGGCAGGCCAGGGGGCAGTGGGCAGGGTGGGAAGCAGGCAGAGGTGCCTGGGGGCAGGCTCTGAGCACATACCGATGAGGGGTCTCTAGGGGCCTGCCAGCTGGCCTGGGGCGCATGTGAGCCTGGGGAGATGCTGCCCTGGGTATGGGCCCCCACCATGCTGCCCAGGCTGGGCCATGAGCAGTCTGGAAGTAGGTCAGGGCTGAAGTATTGTCGGCGGAGGGCAGGAAATAGATAGGATCTCAGCTGCACCCCAGTAGCAGAGGGGGGACACAACATGCTGTGGGGAGGGGGGTGCTGGGGCACACCTGCCACTGAGGGCTGGCACAGGCAGGCACACCTGGCACTGCCTGGCCATGTCAGCTCCAGGGAGAGGGCTGCAGTGGCACCCCCAGCCTATGGTGTAACTATGCACCCCAGCAACCCCCCACCTCCGGCAGGATGGCATGCCACAGTATCCCCCCGCAGCAGGTCACACCCCACAGCATCCCCGCAACCAGTGCAGGGTGGCACACCACAACATCCCCCCCAATGCAGGGTGGCATGACCTGCTCCCTTAGTGCAGGATGGCACGCCCCAGCACCCCCCCCGCCCCGGACTGGATGGCACACCCCAACATCTCCCCTACCATGCAGGCTGGGGTATGTCAACACCCCCCTGTGCAGAATGGCACACCCCAGTACCCCCTCCCCCATGCAGGGTGGCATGTCTTGCCATACTCCATGCCAGTGCATGGTGGCACATCCTATTACCCCACCCTGTACAGGGTGGCACCCCCCACTTCCCTTGGGTCCAGGGGATGGGGTCACTGAGCTTCACCCTGTGCTCCCTCCACCCCCCACCCCCGGGGTAGTAGGTGCCCACAGCCCCTCACCTTGTCGAGGAAGCAGAGCTTCTCACGCGTCTTGGCATCCAGGATCTCCACCTCGAAGAAGAGAACGGCCTTCTTAGCCTTCTTGGCCACCTTGGGCGGGCGCCACAACCCCGTGCCCTCTGCCCCACCAGGCACTGCCTGCCCCCCCTCGCCTGCTGCCCCACCACCCTCCATGCCACCCCCCAGGGCTCTGCTGCGCCCGCCCAGGGGATCCCCAGGGATCAGCGCCTCCGCCAACAGCTTAGAGCGGCTGGAGCTGCCTTCCGAGGGGTAACCCGATCAGTGCTGCGCCCGCGCCCAGCTAAATATAACCAGGCTGGCTCCTCGGGTCCAGGACCTTTTTAAAGGCACCACCAGCTTGCAGGGAGGCTAGCACTGCCCCAGCGCCCAGCCCTTTGAATGGGCCAAGGCAGGGGGCCAGCCTCTCTCATTAGTGCTGTCCATCCACCCCAGGGAAGGATCAAGCAGAGCCCAGCTCCTGGGGAGGCAGTCCCTATGTGGCAGGCAAGAACCTGTCGCACCAGGGACTGTATGCCTTGGGGAGTGACCCACAGCTCCACAGGGGATCGGGGCCTGGCCTCTTTCCCCCCTACCAGGCTGAGATGAGACAGTGCCCAAAGCTCCCCTATTCCACCAAGCACCCCTTGCCCCGCATGCTCACTGCCAGATGTGCCAGCCAGGCCCAGTCTCATCACTTATCAGGGTGTAATGGGGAGCAAGTAGGTGAAC